GCTCATGGCAGGGGGGGTGGAACTTGATGATCTTTAAGGTCCCTTCCAACCTTAATGATTCTAAGTGTGCAGAGCAGAACTTGGTAGCCATACAGCTGCTAGATCTCACTGTAGTGTCATTACATTTTCCTGTGTACAGGATCTCTCCAGTTAATTTGAATTTTCTAATGGTTCTCTTTTTTCTTTTTAGGTAAACTAAAGCCAACCCTGGCCTTCATGTCAGGAAAATTAAGGATCAAAGGTAACATGGCGCTAGCAATAAAGCTTGAGAAGATGCTGACACAGCTTAACTCTAAGCTGTGAGGGGAAACCTTTACTAGCAGAATGGTGGCCTTTCATATATAACTTCAATAATGTTTTAGAATGGTAGTCCTAATTTTTCTCTACTGCTATACAAGAAGTATATGTGAGATTTTTAGAGAATAAATAACTCTGATTAAGACAAGAACCTGTTTGTGATTAAACAACTTCTTTCTTGATAATACACATACTAGCTTTCAGGTGTTTTCTTTACTTCTGCTGAGCTCTGGATCAATGCAGGATGCCTGAAGTGAGGTTTTTCCCACATAGTTACTTACCGATACCCCTCAAAAAAGGTGAGAGAGCAAATATCACCCTACAGGTCTGTGTCTGTGATAGAAGTGCCATGCAGAGTATCCAGACCGGCTTAGCAGTGGAAGCAATATGGTCAGTTTAGCAGCACCCCAGTAAATTAACATCTCATTAATCTTTTTCTGCTTTCCTGAGTTTATTTCCTGTACTAGTTCTCATACCTCTGTGTTGCACTGAGTTGGGCTGCACTGATAGGCAAGTTTTCTTTCTGTGCAAAGGTACACACGTGCATGCAGAAGTGCACTTACACACTCTCTGCCCTGTGCCACAGACAAGGTGCTGCCTTCCACAGCACCTTCATGTAGCATTACCAGGATTAACCTACGTCACTGCAGCCAGCCCCTTCCCCTTCCTTTCAGTTTCACCTCTGTGTCCTGCTGTCTCAGGGGTTTTGGAAAAAAATGGGCTCCTTTCTTACCAGGCACAAGGGACTGGGGACATGGAGGGAAGGAGGGGGTGGCTCTTCCTGTGTTGAGCAGCATGGCAAGGACTGTCCCAGTGGGCATCAGCCCTGCTGGGTTGTATGACAGTCCCCAGCCCAGCACCATCCTGGGGTGTGCTCAGCAGTTGGCTGAGCCCCACCACAGCTGCTGCCTGGGCGTCCTGCAACATCTGCCTGCCCCTGCCCCTGGGCTCAGGGGTCCCTGTCCAAAGGTCCCAGTCTCCCCTGGGCAGGGTCTGCATCCCAGCCCCGTGCTGGTCTGGGGGTTGGTAACCATGCTGTCCCTAACCTGCTGCCCCCAGAGCAGCCTCAGCCTGCACAGACCTGCCCACTGAAGGGAGGGCAGGAGCATTCACATGCACTGGGACATGGAAGCAAAGGCTGCGTGTGGAATAGGAGGGGAAGAAGATCCAGCACTGGAAGCCAGAGCCATCTGGAGGAGACCAAATGTCTGAACTGCTGTTGCAATAATGCAGGCTTGCTGGGGCTGCTGAGTTTGTGCTCTGACTCTCTGCAAAGCAGAAAGTGCTACAGAAAAAGAAAGAAATATGCAAAAATTACCTTTGAGCTGCTTTGGGTGCTAGATCTGGAGAAAGCAGCTGCCAGCTCTTGCTTTTCTGCCTAGATTTGAAGTAGATTCTACTGAATGGAGAGTGCTGGAGACAGAACCTTTGGTAGGCTTTCCTCTGCAATCTGAAGGGACCATGGTATCAGATCCCAGGGCTAGGAAGTGTTTTGTAACGGTACTTTGGGACTGATGAAGACACTGCTGCTCTCCCAGCAGCTTGGACAGCACACAGTGAAGGGCCAAGCCATGGTACTTCTGGGCACTGCGGGCGGTAGGAGTGGCCCCGTGAACTCTGTCCCAGTCCTGCTCAAATCGCTGGAGCCTTTGGCTCTGTCTCACCTTCTCCTTCCCAGGTCCATCAGAATGTCTGTGGCAGGATTGTCAAGGTCTTCTGCTCAGCTGACTGTATCTGTTCCCTCTTTCACCTCCTCCCCAATCCATCAACTATTTCACAGCCACTGCCAGATCAGCTTTCACCTCCAAATCCTGCACTATCACGTCCCCACATCACTTCCCACAGCACCTTCTCCTCCCACTGTTGCCTGATGGAGGCTCTGACCTCCTCCACCATCTCTGTGCTGCCTGCACAAGAGCCTGATGAAACACCCTCCTCAATGAGGCAGCCGCTGTGA